CCGCACGTTGATATTTCTCTCTCTCTTGCACTCGCCGCGGTTTTAGCTTCGTCTGGCTTTGGTGGTGACAACTGACAAGCCTGCTGGGGCAGGATGCCCGGACTATATCATCTCAACGACCTGATTCCAACAGTTCACACCCAACTGCTCTGAAATCAATCGATCTGAAGGCGTGGTCCGCGCTATTTTCGCATAGACTTTTTGCTGCACGTCGGAGAATCAACAGTTGTCGATGCACCCGAAGGAAAGATATTCGATGCACGCAGGGTGCAGGGGGGCGCACTACATAGGCCATGCACCCACACTTGGAAGCCCGCCACTACAGCCCTGCACAAGCACCGTTTAACGCCCAAGATCCACCTAGGCCCACTCCAAGCACCACCGACCTACACAGTAGCGGGGTGCGTACAATTTTTTGGTCGGGGAATTGGAGATGGTAATTTTTTGGGTACACGGTTATAGGAGAGGACGAACCAAGAATGCATACCACTTCCGTCCTGGGTTGCTGTGGTCCGAAATTCCCCGCCCCGGTGGATCTTTCAGTTTGGGCCCTTGCCGGTCGTATCTGTGTGCATAGTGCTTACCCCTGCCTCGTGCGAGGGAGCTTCTCCCTTTCTATTGTGGTTCAACGCGAGAAAGGGAGGGAGTGTTCCGTTATTATATCATTGAGATGTGATGCATAGATAGATGTTGTTCAGTTCGTGAAGAAGCAGGTAGAGCACACGACAAGGTGGACGGAGAAGAATACGAGGAACACTCCGGAACGAACATCGACGGAGCGAAAAATAATCAGTTCGGTCGAAAAAGATGCAGAATTCACCCTGAGATGATGAGGTGATGAGATGGACGCGATGACGACCCACCGGCCGGTGAACGGACAGGATTATTTGTCGCCGGCCTCTTCCTAGAGGGAGCTCCTTCACTCGCACGACATTACACAACTACCACACCAACCTCGCCAACCTCGTCAACCTCGCCAACCAAAGTCTAGGGCCGAGACCTGTGGGGGCTGCCATGAGAGGATCCCGCGGGACCCGGCTCGCGTGGCTGGCTCTTCTTGCGCAAAGAGGTTTGCATAGCAAGCACGCGCGCGTGTGTGTAGCAACTGCAAAATCGCTTCTCGGCGGCAGATACGTAAATGTTACTGTGTTCCTCTCTCTTTTCTTCAATCTGTAAATGGGGGGTGCCTCAGTACCCTTTGCTTGGAGGGAGATTTTTCTCGTGCCCACAAGAAGAGAGGGGCATGGGCACCCAGGATCGAGAAGGCTTGACGCCATCAATGAAATCAGCGGTTCACCTCTAGACTTGCCGACGCTCGACTTGTTGTGCTGTCGCACCCGCTCACGAAAGAGAATAGTCTCGCCCACCCGCCCTTGTGGCAGGTTTTGAGATCGGATCCACCTGTGTTTTGCGGTGATCTTTCTCCGTGTCTTCTGGTGCGCTGATGACCCGTGTGCTTACCACAGAGACAGGGCACCGAAGACGTCGATCACGATAGCAATGCCGTAGGTCGTCGCTCCTGTCCCTGTCACCCAGTGTGTCATGTTGTTGCGTTTGTTTATGCATCTCTTCAGTCTGTGCGGTAGACTTGCGAAAATCGAAATGACCTGACAGATCCAAGGCTATTCAGGGGTGGGCACGTACGTGGATGATATTTCCGAGAGACAACACACCACGCACAGAAAACACCCGCGTGCGCGCTCCACGCGCATGGTCTTGGAAGGGCGGGCTAGAGTATGGCTGTGCACTTCTCGAAAAAATGGGCGAGCAAGTGCCGACAGAGAGGCCGCGAGTGACGGGAAACAATACAAAAAATGTAAAGATTTTACCCGCGACGGTAGCAGCAGCAGCAGGACAGCTGAGAGGAACAGCAGGATCCAGTGGGGACGAAAGGATCTGATCTGCAGAACAACGGCAGGTTGTCAAGGCTAGGCGTCGTGCCGAACAGAGCCCACGTCGCGTGTCTCCACTCCCTCCCCCTCTCTCCTCTCCCAGCGATACTCTGCCGGGTTCCGGAAGCAGTTGGTCTTGGTCGTACTTTTTTCTGGTTTTTTTCTGCTCTCCTTCAGTACGGAACGGAACCCGCTGAATTTGATATTTTGTACCTCGGCCTCTTCCCGCCTGCAGGGGTTCAATTTTCGATTTTCGGTACTGGTAAATACAACGATATCCCATCTTCTCCCTCATCATTGCTGAGCTCTGGTATTTCCGCTTGTTGGAAGGCTCACACCCTGCTCACACAGCAGCTGCCATGCATTGCTGTCCTCCCTCTCAACCCGACTTCACCGGCAGCACATGAGGATCCACAATCTGTCACCTGTCACACGCAAGTATTTTTTTTTTTTCTTGGCACCTGGTGTTTATCCGCATGTTCAACGACGAACGTCTGAAGAATCTGTTCAGTTCGCATATAAAGAGTCCAAGAGTCCAATAAATCATCTCCCCACCATCATGCTGAACGGTTTTTGTTGTGAAGGCAACCACAACAACAACAACAACAATGCTGGTGGCCTGTATTTCGACCGCGACGTTCATAGGCTTTTCATCCGACCTCCGCGGCAGACGAAAGAGGGAGGACCGGTCTCCATGGGCTGTTGTAGTAAAGTCCGGAAGCCCTCTCTATCATACACTGCTGCTCCTGTACCTCTGACGCAGACGCTCAATTAAAAAATGGCGGTATGAAAATTTTCACACCATGTACAACTATAACTAATAACTAAGTTGTGCAAGGGTTCAGCTACCCTTGGTTGAACGGGATCAACTATTGTAGTTGGACAAGATTCTGAGACTTGGGTAGAACGGAATCAACTAGTTGGACAAGATTCTGAGACTTGAGTTGAATGGAATCAACTAGTTGGACAAGATTCTGAGACTTGAGTCGAACGGAATCAACTAGTTGGTCAAGATTCCGAGACTTTGGTTGATTGGCCAAACAAATGCAACTACCTTAGTTGTACAGGGTAGAAATTTACCTTTGTTTTGCCCACCCGAAACGTGCTCTTTGGCTATCTATACGTACGTCTGTCTCTATTATTTATCGTGCAACACGCGCCATCGTATATTGTCACCGGTCTCTCTCTCGCCCGCTCCCTCGCTCTGTGTGTAGTGTGTATTCGTCGTCGCATCTTACATACCTTGCGGTGTTTTATTTCTTGTGATCTTGGTCGGTTCTGTAGGTATATTTCCCAGTCACTAGCGCTGATTTGAAGTGAAGAAAACACAATATAACGTCATGCTGCTGTTTCTCACACTGCTCTACAAGTAAGTATAGTCCACAGTCCACAAAAAAAATAAGGAGCCCGTGGTCGCGAAAACCCCGTGTGGCAGACCGGGTTTTGCCCTCTAAATACATGTGTACGTAGCGAGGATCGATAGCCAATCAGTCTTAGTGGCAAACAGTGACCCCTGCTGCGATAACCTTCAGTGGAAAATAATACCATTTCGTGATGGCCCTTCGTGTGGATTATTATCGGAAGAAGCGTTTTTTCTCCAGCAAGTTGACTAACCGCCTAGTATTTTGTGACTCCGGCTCCACCGGAGAGACATAATTGACCATGATGTAGCACTCTCAGCACTATATATAGAAGTTTCGCTACGTTCTGGATGGCAGGCGCGAGGTTCTCGGAGAAAATATTCATCGTGTTACAGGCATAGACTATATTCATTCGTGTCGTTCCGAGCGATTGATCACACGATGCCACACACGACACGAGAAGTTATTAAAACAACACGCGTCAACGAGGCTTTGAGCCACGAATCGATCTGTACTCAGCAGTTCAGTGCGAAATTATGCGATCAAACCGCTGAAGAACGTTACGAAGTGTGAAAGAAAAACAAACCCGTCTCCGGTATTTCTTTTTCATGTCTAACTGAAAAAGACAAATAGTTAATATACTGTTCGAGGACAGGCGCCTCTCATCCAGAGCGTACGCTCAATTTTCTCCAACTATACATTATTTCTTCTTCCTCTCCCGAGACTCCATTGTTCAAATATATACATTTTCCCTGTGACATGGCCCAACAACGACTGAAAGAATATTTATTTGATGCAGGGTGGTGGCGCTCACATTATTCTTCACGTATTTCAAACGTTTTAGCCTCCCAAGTCTGGCGAAAGATAGATAGTAGTCGCGTGTTGCAAGAGGACGGCCCATAGGTTTTAGGAGTTGCAGGTTATAACATTGGAGACGTGAAAGGAAGAAGTGAAAATCAAATCAACAGGGTCCCACTCCCGTTTCGGCGTTGTTCGGAAAAAATTGCATTTGCCCAGTCCAATCTTGCCCGATGACACGCCCTTGTCCACCGACGATGTCAGTACTAGCAGGCGCGAAGATTGGGAACAGTTGACACTGTGCCTTGCACACTGTGCTAACTAACGGTAGGCTGCCACGACATTTTTACCGCTGTTGTGTGGGTGTATTTACCACTTGTATTTAGTAGACGAATCACTCTTGTTCGTGATGTGCGAGTGAAGAGGTGACCCTCGTACGCACAAAAATAAAAGAGCTCGGGATGTTGATTTCATCGACCTCCCTACCCCCCGCTCCCTTGCCGCCGTCTGCCAAGCAGCTCACGCCGCGCCTCCGTCATCGAGCGTATCGGTAGCTTGCAGCCTAGAAAGTCTCTCCGAGGATGACCGGGAATCATTGCAACAGCACCGCCGGGGCCTCTTCATCGACCCCGATTGTGGGAAGTCAGGTGACAAGGACCACTACTACTGCCAAAAAAAATATGACGCACATAGTCGATGATACCGACACCGCCGGTTACCACGGGGCGGTAAACACCCCACACGGGGATCGTTGAGTTGACGAGACGCTGGTGGTGTCGCGCGTTGGGCATGAAATTGGTCGATGACAATGACCGTCGTCGTAGAGACGACTGTCTTCAAGTCGGGAAGCAACGCGGGCTTATCTAGTGTGCTTGCAGTTTGAGACGAGGGTGGATAGGTCATTTTAGATCGATTTTCGCTCAGACGGAGATTGCCAAGAGTTAGCGCTATGTGCGACGGAAACCTGACAGACCCTCCGGTTTTTTTCGCTCACGTGGTTGCTTCGAACGGGGTAGAATGGGGGCAGGAGAAGGAGAGGAACGACTGCAACATGTTCAACCTCGGGACCAACTGCCGCAGTTGTTTCAACACCTGCGACGCTGCACTGACCTTCGCCTACGAGTTTCTCTTTACGGTGAGAAGAGAACCAAGTTCTACTGTTGCTGTTGCTATTGCTGTTGCTATTGCTGTTGCTGTTGCCGTTGCTGCTTGATTTTTTTCTAGTGGTCTTGTTGTTGCTGCTGCCGCGGAAATAGTTGTCGTTCTTGCTAGTGCATTTTTTTCTTCAAATAACAGTGGCAAGCAACAACCATGCCAAGAGTGACAATAAGGGTCTCACAGGGTCAACCACATCTCTAGGGAATCAGATTTCACACCATCAGTCAGTATGAAAGAGAACCTCCGTCCAGCCGTTACACTTGGCAGGACATACCCGGGGATTCCCTCGCCTTTTTTTCGCCGACGGTCCCGAAACTTCAACGACCTCATTGGTACACCCCCCTCGCTACCCCAAAAATGTCTCAGTTCTCTCGACAGTGAGATATATCTCGCATACCCGTTGATGTTGATGCTGCGAGAGCGTGAAAACCTCTAACCGCTGTCAACTTGCGGGGCAGTGAGGGATGAACGTGTAGCCCTTGGCTTCCTGCACACTCCACCCATAGAAGATACCGGGCCCGGTTTCCACCTTTATCACCACTCCTTGGGGCCGAGAGGCAAAACAAACCTCTGTTGCAAAACCCCTTGTCATTGACCCTCGCTCCCCGCCGCTGACACCCGAACTATCCCATCCGCGCCTCCCCGCCTCCCAACCCACTTGCGCCCATTTCAGGACGCCGAGATCGCCTTCTGTCCCGGAAGCGGCATCACCTCGATCGATGACTGCGCGAACAGCGAGGGACAACGCGCCCTGACCAACAACGGGGAGGGGCTGGGCGGTGATGCCTTCGATCCCATGTACGGCTGGGAGCCCACGCCGGCGCCCACGTCCGTGTCCTACCACTTCGACTTCGACGAGCCAACGCCGACGCCGGTGATGATAATGGAAACCCCACAGCAGGTCGACGGCCGCCGTCCACGGCCTCGCCACCCTGAAGGAACACCGGTGCCGACATATCTGTCCTTCGACTTCGACCCCGACCACCCAACGCCGGCACCCGTGACGGAGGGCCCGCAGCCGGTCGACGCCCGCCGTCCCCGGCCTCGCCAGCCTGAAGCAACACCGGTGCCGACATATCTGTCCTTCGACTTCGACCCCGACTACCCAACGCCGGCACCGGTGCCAGAGGGCCCACGGCCAGTCGACGGCCGCCGTCCTCGCCACCCTGAAGGAACACCGGTACCGACATACCTGTCCTTCGACTTCGACCCCGACCACCCAACGCCGACACCTATCGGAGAAGGCCCGCAGCCGGTCCGTGGCGGCCGTCCCCGGCCTCGCCACCCTGAAGGAACACCTGTACCGACATACGTATCGTTCGACTTCGACCCTGACTACCCAACGCCGGCACCGGTGAATGGCGGCCCGCAGTCAGTCGACGGTCACCGTCCTCGCCACCCTGAAGGAACACCGGTGCCGACGTGCATGTCCTTCGACTTCGACTTCGACATGCCAACGCCGGCACCGGTGATGGAGGGCCCGCAGCCGGGCCATGACCGAAATCCCCGACCTCGCCATCCTAAGGGAACACCTGTACCGACATACCTGTCCTTCGACTTCGACCCCGACTACCCAACGTCGGCACCTGTGACGGACGGCCCGCAGCCGGTCGATGACCGCCATACTCGCCACCCTGAAGGAACACCGGTACCGACATATCTGTCCTTCGACTTCGACCCCGACTACCCAACGCCGGTACCTGTGATGGAGGGCCCGCAGCCGGTCGACAGCCGCCGTCCCCGGCCTCGCCACCCTGAAGGAACACCGGTGCCGACATACCTGTCCTTCGACTTCGACCCCGACTACCCAACGCCGGCACCGGTGATGGAGGGCCCGCAGCCGGGCCATGACCGAAATCCCCGACCTCGCCATCCTAAGGGAACACCTGTACCGACATACCTGTCCTTCGACTTCGACCCCGACTACCCAACGTCGGCACCTGTGACGGACGGCCCGCAGCCGGTCGATGACCGCCATACTCGCCACCCTGAAGGAACACCGGTACCGACATATCTGTCCTTCGACTTCGACCCCGACTACCCAACGCCGGTACCGGTGAAAGAGGTCCCGCAGCCCGTCGACGGTCACGGTCCTCGCCACCCTGAAGGAACACCGGTGCCGCCATACATGTCCTTCGACTTCGACTTCGACTACCCAACGCCGGCACCGGTGTTGAAGGGCCCGCAGCCGGTCGATGGCCGCCGCCCCCGGCCTCGCCAGCCTGAAGGAACACCGGTGCCGACATATCTGTCCTTCGACTTCGACTTCGACTACCCAACGCCGGCACCGGTGGTAGAGGGCCCGCAACCGGTCGACGGCCGCCGTCCGCGGCCTCGCCAGCCTGAAGCAACACCGGTGCCGACATATCTGTCCTTCGACTTCGACTTCGACTACCCAACGCCGGCACCGGTGGTAGAGGGCCCGCAACCGGTCGACGGCCGCCGTCCGCGGCCTCGCCAGCCTGAAGCAACACCGGTGCCGACATATCTGTCCTTCGACTTCGACTTCGACTACCCAACGCCGGCACCGGTGGTAGAGGGCCCGCAACCGGTCGACGGCCGCCGTCCGCGGCCTCGCCAGCCTGAAGCAACACCGGTGCCGACATATCTGTCCTTCGACTTCGACCCCGACTACCCAACGCCGGCACCGGTGGTAGAGGGCCCGCAACCGGTCGACGGCCGCCGTCCGCGGCCTCGCCAGCCTGAAGCAACACCGGTGCCGACATATCTGTCCTTCGACTTCGACCCCGACTACCCAACGCCGGCACCGGTGGTAGAGGGCCCGCAACCGGTCGACGGCCGCCGTCCGCGGCCTCGCCAGCCTGAAGCAACACCGGTGCCGACATATCTGTCCTTCGACTTCGACCCCGACCACCCAACGCCGGCTCCTGTGACGGAGGGCCCGCAGGCGTTCGACGGCCGCCGTCCCCGGCCTCGCCACCGTGAAGCAACACCGGTGCCGACATATCTGTCCTACGACTTCGACACCGACTACCCAACGCCGGCACCGGTGATGGAGGGCCCGCAGCCGGTCGACGGCGACCGTCCCCGGCCTCGCCACCCTAAAGCAACACCGGTGCCGACATACCTGTCCTTCGACTTCGACTTCGACTACCCAACGCCGGCACCGGTGATGGAGGGCCCGCAGCCGGTCGACGGCGCCCGTCCCCGGCCTCGCCACCCTAATGCAACACCGGTGCCGACATACCTGTCCTTCGACTTCGACTTCGACTACCCAACGCCGGCACCGGTGATGGAGGGCCCGCAGCCGGTCGACGGCGCCCGTCCCCGGCCTCGCCACCCTAATGCAACACCGGTGCCGACATACCTGTCCTTCGACTTCGACCCCGACTACCCAACGCCGGCTCCTGTGACGGAGGGCCCGCAGCCGGTCGACGGCCGCCGCCCCCGGCCTCGCCACCCTGAAGGAACACCGGTGCCGACGTCCCTGTCCTTCGACTTCGACTTCGACTACCCAACGCCGGCTCCTGTGATGGAGGGCCCGCAGCCGGTCGACCGCCGCCGCCCCCGGCCTCGCCACCCTGAAGGAACACCGGTGCCGACGTCCCTGTCCTTCGACTTCGACTTCGACTACCCAACGCCGGCTCCTGTGATGGAGGGCCCGCAGCCGGTCGACCGCCGCCGCCCCCGGCCTCGCCACCCTGAAGGAACACCGGTGCCGACGTCCCTGTCCTTCGACTTCGACTTCGACTACCCAACGCCGGCTCCTGTGATGGAGGGCCCGCAGCCGGTCGACCGCCGCCGCCCCCGGCCTCGCCACCCTGAAGGAACACCGGTGCCGACGTCCCTGTCCTTCGACTTCGACTTCGACTACCCAACGCCGGCTCCTGTGATGGAGGGCCCGCAGCCGGTCGACCGCCGCCGCCCCCGGCCTCGCCACCCTGAAGGAACACCGGTGCCGACGTCCCTGTCCTTCGACTTCGACTTCGACTACCCAACGCCGGCTCCTGTGATGGAGGGCCCGCAGCCGGTCGACCGCCGCCGCCCCCGGCCTCGCCACCCTGAAGGAACACCGGTGCCGACGTCCCTGTCCTTCGACTTCGACTTCGACTACCCAACGCCGGCTCCTGTGATGGAGGGCCCGCAGCCGGTCGACCGCCGCCGCCCCCGGCCTCGCCACCCTGAAGGAACACCGGTGCCGACGTCCCTGTCCTTCGACTTCGACTTCGACTACCCAACGCCGGCTCCTGTGATGGAGGGCCCGCAGCCGGTCGACCGCCGCCGCCCCCGGCCTCGCCACCCTGAAGGAACACCGGTGCCGACGTCCCTGTCCTTCGACTTCGACTTCGACTACCCAACGCCGGCTCCTGTGATGGAGGGCCCGCAGCCGGTCGACGGCGACCGTCCCCGGCCGCGCCACCCCAAAGCAACACCGGTGCCGACGTCCCTGTCCTTCGACTTCGACACCGACTACCCAACGCCGGAATCTGTGACGGAGGGCCCCCACCCGGTCGACGGCCGCCGCCCCCGGCCTCGCCAGCCTAAAGCAACACCGGTGCCGACATACCTGTCCTTCGACTTCGACACCGACTACCCAACGCCGGCACCGGTGGTAGAGGGCCCGCAACCGGTCGATGGCCGCCGTCCCCGGTCTCGCCACCCTGAAGGAACACCGGTGCCGACATACCTGTCCTTCGACTTCGACCCCGACTACCCAACGCCGGCACCGGTGATGGAGGGCCCGCAGCCGGACGATGGCCGCCGCCCACGGCCTCTCCAGCCTGAAGCAACACCAGCGCCGACGTCCCTGTCTTTCGACTTCGACCCCGACTACACAACGCCGGCACCGGTGATGGAAGGCGCGCAGCCGGTCGACGGCCGCCGTCCCCGGCCTCGCCACCCTGAAGGAACACCGGCGCCGACATATCTGTCCTACGACTTCGACACCGACTACCCAACGCCGGCTCCTGTGATGGAGGGCCCCCACCCGGTCGACGGCCGCCGCCCTCGCCACCGTGAAGCAACACCGGTGCCGACATCCCTGTCCTTCGACTTCGACTTCGACATGCCAACGCCGGCACCGGTGATGGAGGGCCCGCAGCCGGTCGACGGCCGCCGTCCCCGGCCTCGCCACCCTGAAGGAACACCGGCGCCGACATATCTGTCCTTCGACTTCGACTTCGACTACCCAACGCCGGCTCCTGTGATGGAGGGCCCCCACCCGGTCGACGGCCGCCGCCCTCGCCACCGTGAAGCAACACCGGTGCCGACACACCTGTCCTTCGACTTCGACACCAACTACCCAACGCCGGCACCGGTGATCGAGGGCCCGCAGCCGGTCGACGGCGACCGTCCCCGGCCGCGCCACCCCAAAGCAACACCGGTGCCGACATACCTGTCCTTCGACTTCGACCCCGACTACCCAACGCCGGCACCGGTGATCGAGGGCCCGCAGCCGGTCGACGGCCGCCGTCCCCGACCTCGCCACCCTGAAGGAACACGAGTACCGACATACCTATCCTTCGACTTCGACCCTGACTACACAACTCCGGCACCCGTGACGGAGGACCCGCAGCCGGTGGACGGCCGCCGTCCCCGACCTCGCCACCCTGAAGGAACACCGGTACCGACATACCTGTCCTTCGACTTCGACCCCTACTACGCAACGCCGGTACCGGTGAAAGAGGTCCCGCAGCCGGTCGATGGCCGCCGTCCACGGCCTCGCCAGCCTGAAGCAACACCAGCGCCGACGTCCCTGTCCTTCGACTTCGACTTCGACTACACAACGCCGGCACCGGTGATGGAAGGCGCGCAGCCGGTCGACGGCCGCCGTCCCCGACCTCGCCAGCCTGAAGGAACACCGGCGCCGACATATCTGTCCTACGACTTCGACTTCGACTACCCAACGCCGGCTCCTGTGATGGAGGGCCCCCAACCGGTCGACGGCCGCCGCCCTCGCCACCCTGAAGCAACACCGGTGCCGACATATCTGTCCTTCGACTTCGACTTCGACATGCCAACGCCGGCACCGGTGATGGAAGGCGCGCAGCCGGTCGACGGCCGCCGTCCCCGACCTCGCCAGCCTGAAGGAACACCGGCGCCGACATATCTGTCCTACGACTTCGACTTCGACTACCCAACGCCGGCTCCTGTGATGGAGGGCCCCCAACCGGTCGACGGCCGCCGCCCTCGCCACCCTGAAGCAACACCGGTGCCGACATATCTGTCCTTCGACTTCGACTTCGACATGCCAACGCCGGCACCGGTGATGGAGGACCCGCAGCCGGTCGACGGCGACCGTCCCCGGCCGCGCCACCCCAAAGCAACACCGGTGCCGACATACATGTCCTTCGGCTTCGACACCGACTACCCAACGCCGGAATCTGTGACGGAGGGCCCCCACCCGGTCGACGGCGGCCGCCCCCGGCCTCGTCACCCGGAAGCAACACCGGTGCCGACATACCTGTCCTTCGACTTCGACCCCGACTACCCAACGCCGGCTCCTGTGACGGAGGGCCTGCAGCCGGTCGACAGCCGCCGTCCCCGGCCTCGCCACCCTGAAGGAACACCGGCGCCGACGTCCCTGTCCTTCGACTTCGACCCCGACTACCCAACGCCGGCTCCTGTGACGGAGGGCCTGCAGCCGGTCGACAGCCGCCGTCCCCGGCCTCGCCACCCTGAAGGAACACCGGCGCCGACGTCCCTGTCCTTCGACTTCGACCCCGACTACCCAACGCCGGCTCCTGTGACGGAGGGCCTGCAGCCGGTCGACAGCCGCCGTCCCCGGCCTCGCCACCCTGAAGGAACACCGGCGCCGACGTCCCTGTCCTTCGACTTCGGCACCGACTACCCAACGCCGGCACCGGTGACAGAGGACCCGCAGCCGGTCGACGGCCACCGTTCACGGCCTCGCCAGCCTGAAGCAACACCGGTGCCGACATACTTATCTTTCGACTTCGACCCCGACTACCCAACACCGGCACCAGTGACGGAGGGCCCGCAGCCGGTCGACGCCCGCCGTCCACGGCCTCGCCACTCTGAAGGAACACCAATGCCGACATACTTATCGTTCGACTTCGACTCCGACTACCCAACGCCAGCACCCGTGACGGAGGGCCCGCTGCTGGTCGACGGCCGCCGTCCCCGACCTCGCCGCCCGGAAGGAACACCGGTGCCGACGTCCCTGTCCGTCGACTTCGACCCCGACTACCCAACGCCGGCACCGGTGACGGAGGACCCGCAGCCGGCCGACGGCGGCCGTCCCCGGCCTCGCCACCCTGAAGCAACACCGGTGCCGACGTCTCTGTCTTTCGACTTCGACCCCGACTACACAACACCGGCACCGGTGACGCAGGGGCCGCAGCCGGTGGACGGCCGCCGCCCCCGGCCTCGCCACCCGGAAGGAACGCCGGAGCCGACGTCCGTGTCCTTCGACTTCGACTTCGACTACCCAACGCCCGCACCTGCGACGGAGGGCCCGCAGCCGGTCGAAGACCGCCGCCCCCGACCTCGCCACCCGGAAGGAACACCGGTGCCGACGTCCCTGTCCTTCGACTTCAACTTCGACCGGCCAACGCCGGAACCTGAGACCGAGGTCCTGCAGCCGGTCGCCAAGCCCGAGAAGTCATGGCCGTCAGCTCCCAGTATGCCTCCGAGCTCACGGTCACCGACGGCCCCAGTGGAAGAGACGACAACGGCTCCGGCTTCATCCGGCAGGCCCCAGTCGCCTTCTCCGGCAGTGGCACCGTCCCCGATCTCCACAGCCCCAGACACTTCGCCGTCGCCAGCTACCCTACCCGCCCCGAGCACACTGGCGCCCGCTGGAGGCATCAACCGGCCGCCTTCACCCACGGGAGCGCCTCGAACAAACCCTGCGGTGACGCCCACATCAACTACCGAGACTCCGACCGCCCCCCCCGCTGGTACTGCCCCCACCGCCGGCGCGGCTATGCCTTCGGCTCCTTCTCCCATTATTCCGAGCGCCCCGACACCCATGTCCTACGACTTCGACTTCGACGACCCAACCCCGGCGCCGGTGTCTGAAGGCCGGCAGCCTGTGCCCACTCCTGGGCAGCCATCACCACCGACCCCCAGCACGGCTCCGAGCTCACGGTCACCGACTGTGCCAGTGGAAGAGGTGACGCCGGCTCCGGCGTCATCCGGGAGGCACCAATCGCCTTCTCCGGCGGTGACACCGTCCCCGATCTCCACAGCCCGCGACGCTTCACCATCCCCAGCTACTATTCCCACCCCGAGTCATGACCCTTCCCCCGCTACCACGCTGACTCCCGCAGGAGGCAAGAACCAGGCGCCATCACCCACGGACGCGCCTCGAACAGACTCTTCCGCGGTACCAACGTCGACTGCCGAGCCTGCGGCCGCCGCCCCCGTCGCCGCCGCCCCCACCGCCGGCACGGCTATGCCTTTGAAGCCTTCTCCCATCATGCCGAGCGCCTCGTCATCTATGTCTTTCGACTTTGACTCCGACTTCGATATCCCAACACCGGCGCCGGTGCCTGAGGGCCCGCAGCCTGTCGCCACTCCTGGACAGCCATCACCACCAACTCCCAGCACCGCTCCGAGCTCGCGACCACCAACGGCGCCAGTGGCAGAGACGACGACGGCTCCGGCTTCATCCGACAAGCAACGGTCACCGTCTCCACCTTCACCTTCTCCTTCCCCGGTGGTGGCGCCGGCCCCGATCTCCACAGCCCCAGACGCGTCATCACCGCCAGCTACTGTGCCCGCTTCGACTCATGACCCTTCCACCGCTGTTACCCTGGCGCCCGCTGGAGGGAAGAACCAGGCGCCTCCGCCCACGGACGCACCTCGAACAGACCCTGCCGCGGCGCCCACGTCGACAACCAAGCCTCCCGTCGCCGCCCCTACCGCTGCCGCCCCCACCGTTGCCGCACCTTCCATGCCCTCGGCGCCTTCTCCCACCATGCCTTCGGCGCCTTCTCCCACCATGCCGAGCGCCCCGACGTCTATGTCCTACGACTTGGATTTCGACGGGCCAACGCCGCCGCCTGTGATGGAGGGCGTGCAGCCTGACGCCACGCCTGGGATGCTATCACCGTCAGACCCCAGCACGCCTCCGAGCTCACGATCGCCGACGGCGCCAGCGGTAGAGACGACGACGGCTCCATCTTCATCCGACAGGCAGCGGTCACCGTCTTCACCTTCACCTTCTCCTTCCCCGATGGTGGCACCGGCCCCGATCTCCACAGCCCCAGAAGTTTCGCCATCACCAGCTACTAGGCCCGCCCCGATCCATGACTCTTCCACCGCTGCCACGCTGGCGCCCGCTGGAGGCAAGAACCAGGCGCCGTCACCCACGGACGCGCCTCAAACACTCCCCGCCGCCGCGCCTACGCCGACTAGCGAGCCTCCCGCCGCCGCCCCCTCCGCCGCCGCCGCCCCAACCGCGGCTTCCACCCCTGCCATGCCTTCGGCGCCTTCTTCCACAATCCCCACAGCCCCGACGGCCATGTCCTACAACTTCGACTTCGATGAACTGACGCCGGCGCCTGTGTCTGAGGGCGCGCAGCCTGTCGCCACGCCTGGACAGCCATTACCACCAACTCCCAGCACCGCTCCGAGCTCACGATCGCCAACGGCGCCAGTGGCAGAGACGACGGCGGCTCCGGCTTCGTCCGACACGCAGCAATCACCGTCTCCACCCTCTCTTTCTCCATCCTCGGTGGTGGCGCCGGCCCCGATCTCCACAGCCCCAGACGTTTCGCTATCGCCAGCTGCTAGGCCCGCCCCGAGCCATGACCCTTCCCCCACTGCCACGCTGGCGCCCTCTGGAGTCAAGAACCAGGTGCCTTCGCCGACCAGTGCGCCTCGAGCAGATCCCGCTGCGGCGCCCACGTCGACGATCGAGCTTCCGGCCGCCGCCCCTGCCATGCCTTCGGTGCCTTCTCCCGCCATGCCGAGCGCCCCGACATCCATGTCCTACGACTTCGACTTCGACGGGCCAACGCCGGCGCCTGCGTCGGAGGGCCTGCAGCCCGTCGCCACGCCCGGACAGCCATCACCGCCAATCCCCAGCACGCCTCCGAGCTCACGGTCACCGACAGCGCCGGTGGAAGAGACGACGACGACGGCTCCGGTTTCATCCGACAGGCAGCGGTCACCGTCTTCACCTTCGCCTTCTCCGGTGGTGGCACCGGCCCCGGTCTCCACCGCACCAGACGCTTCACCGTCGCCAGCTACAACCCTGCCCGCCCCAACCGCCGCCGCCGCTACCCCAACCGCCGCCGACGCGCCAACCGCCGCCGCACCCCCCACGGCCGCTGCCGCGCCTGCCACCCCTCCGGTGCCTTCTCCTACCATACCTTCGGCGCCTTCTCCCATCATGCCCAACGCCCCGACGGCCATGTCCTACGACTTCAACTTCGACGACACAACACCGGCGCCTGTGTCCGAGGGCCTGCAGCCGTCGCCAATGGGAGCGCCTCGAGCAGACCCCGCCGCGGCGCCCACATCGACTACCGAGCCTCCGGCCGCCGCCCCCACCGCCCCGGCCACGCCTTCTGCGCCTTCTCCCACCATGCCGAGCGCCCCGACGTCTACCCCACCCACCGTTGCTGGTCAGGAGCCCGCAGCGACTCCAGAGCCCATTTCCCAGCCGAGCGAGAGGGGGTCCGTGGCTCCCACCTCCGCCGGTACTACCCCCGCGCCTTCGACGCCGGGGGGCTCGTGGACTCAAGTACCGGCCGCCGCAGGAGCTCCACCGCCGGCATCTGGGGACGTCTTTACCTGCCCGCCGCCCGTGCCTTGCATCTGCGAAGCGCCTGCCGAACCCACGCCGACGGCAGCACCGACATCGGAGGCAACATCGGTGACGGTGGCGGCGGGGGTTACCACCGCCCCAGCTGCGATGCCCACGGCCTCTCATCCAGGAACGCCCACGAGCAACACGCCCTCACCCACGCAGGGTAAGTTAGTTGTCGAAGTGATGTTGAAGAATGATAGAATTTTGAAGTGTATCGAATTGACAAATGGAAAATGCAGAGCCCCGTCGTACGGTTGTCGGCGAGGATTCTTGACGCTTTCGCCCGCTCGCTCGCGTACTCCCGTCCAGAGTCGGCGGTGATGGGGGCACCTGTACTAAATGTTTCTGCGACATACGCGCCCTTGGGTCAGAAAACCTCGACACTTTGTGCATTTCTGCGAAGCATAATGGTTTAGATTGTGTTTTGGTTGGTTCCTTTGTTGGTGTAGCTAGAACGGTTTCGCCTTCCTTTCAATGTTGTTTATTTCTGGCTCGTTTGTTGCGATATCGCGGTTGCTGGTTTGGCTGCAGAAGGTCTGATGGGGGCTCCGGTAGTAGATGCTGCGCTTGGCCTCTTTCAAGACACCATCAGATTGTGCGCTCCTCTCGTTGTGTTGTTGAGGTTGGATGACGACATTGAGGCAGCCAACGACATGTACAATTCGTATGGCTGACTACCGCGCTGGGGCAGTGAACATTTTACAACTCTCAACGTTGCTAGTAGCTTCAAGCGTCTTTGTGGCCTTTCCTCTTGTGTGACCGCAGCCGGTGCGTCCAGAAATTGTTCCGAAATAAGTGAAAGGACCGACGTCCAGACTACTTGAAATAATATATATATAATCGACATTCTCTCCTCCCACCCTGACACCCCTCCGCCTCCTCGGTGCTCTCCCCGCCCACGTCGGCCGCAAATACTCCAGACGGAAGCCTCCCGATGGCGACGCCCTCGCCGACACCGACACCGACGCCGCACAGCCAGACCGCACCCACTATGCCCGGCGGGTCCGACTCGAGCACCGACGAGTTCGAAGACGATGACGACGGCCTCTTCTACTTGCCGGAGGACCCCGACTCGATCGACGGCTTCCAGGACGATGACAATTTCTTCTACTTCCCGGATGGCGAGTTCGACGAGCCCGACGCGACCCCCGCTCCTCGTGCAATCCCCGCTCCCGTCGCCGGCCGCTCGCAGCCTTACACGCCAACGCCGGCGGTGGTAGCTGACGAGGATGAGGAGGAGGTGGACTGTGTGTCGCTCCTCTCTCCCGAGATGTTGGTGAGTCAATCATGGCTTACCTGTGTGCCGGCACGGTTCTGTTGATTTGTCGCTTGCTCGCCCCGAAACTGTAGTACCACCATTGTAGTACCACCATTTTTTCAAGGGCCGTGGGGGTTTTGATACGGATTGGTAGGGATGTATCGTCGAAAGAGAAGCGGCTTCGTACTATGAATGTGATTCTGCTGCCCAAAAACACGCTCCGTTCGAGAGTAGCGCCTACAACGCGTATCCGAACCTCACCGCTCTGTTCTGTGGTCCCGATGACCTTTGATTTTGATGCTTTTGCCCAGATGGAGCTAGCCCAAAAGGACAAGGGTGTTTACTACGAGAAGGACTGCCAGGGCCTGCACTGCAACATGTTCGGGATTGGCTGGGACTGCAGGGCCTGCTACATGGACTGCGCAGCCTGCGAGGGAGACCAGGAAGACCTGGGAACGTGAGTTTTGATATTGTGTGGTTGTGATGACCCTGCTTTCGGTCAGCTTTTAGGTTTCGTTGCAGGGATCACGCTTGCTGTTGGTCAAGGTATGCAGTGTTGGCTTGAGTAGCGACGTTGGAGCGCAGAATGCCCGGAGCACCGTTGGCAGCCGCCCGACAAGGCTGGTAATGCTTGCACAAGCTAGCCTAGCCCACAAACAAGGCATTGCGTTGCAGCTCCCGTTCTGTCATCGTTCAATGTGAGGTGAGCCTAGCATGAGTGACTGCGCCACCGCTGGGAAACAATCTGGGAGCTCATTCGTCTCACTTGAAATAACACAGCGTCAAATGTTTCTTGTCAAGGCTGCTCTCTTGGACGTACGTGGCACTTTCTCGCCTATTCGTCGAATTGGCGTGTGTTGCTTCTGTGCGCTAACACCTACAAAAAAAAACACACCGCCTAACACCGCCGATCCCGCTACGAATGGAGACAGTCGTCTTCTCGATCCAAACCCACGACCGCGCTCACCCACCCCCGGTTGGCATCCACAAATTATCATGCACATACGCCCCATCGGATAGGACGCTTAATCGCCCCCCCTTCCCCGCGCGCGCTCTTGTCATGCCTCCTCGACGACAAAGCAGGGCGGACCTTGCGATGTGCCCCTCCGAATTCCCGAAGATCGGAGGCCAGACCCAGACCTGCATCTCGGCCTGCAGCGCCTCGCGCAAGACCCGTTATCGCCGCCGCCGCCGCCTCCGCGGACAGTAAGCTTCCTCCCTTCCGATCACTAATTTATCGAACGAGATGTTTGCCCCCAGCCATTTTTTTTTCATGTGTGGGGAAAATTCTAAGTAGTGTTGGAGATTTTTCTTTCTTATGGAAAATTATTTTTTGTGTTGGTGAGCCGTCGTCATCGTCGTCGTTTCCGCGGTATCAGCATGGGCTTCATTCTCTTTAATAAGGAATTTTCCAGGAACTAGTTTAGAGCGCACAGCAGCCACCAGTGTATGTAGCGTTGGTCGAACGAGTAGTGGTGCCAACGAGAATTCCGTTGCGTAGAATTTACCGGCATTTTCTCGCAAGCCATTAGTGCGCCTGGTACTGTGCAGTTGGAGGGCGGGTGAGCTGTTTTGCAGGATTTTTTTGGGGCCTAGCAAGCACGATACGTGCGAGAAGAAACCTTCATTTTGCCACAGGTTAACCTACTTTAGACCATATGCTACGTTGTCGTAAAATTTGTTTCGTGTATTGTGCCGGATCGGTGTCGTGATAGTTGTTTGGTCTTCGTTTCCCACGTGGACCCTATCGCACCCCAACTCTGGTTGTATGCTCCAAGTTTTGATATTTTTCGTGCGTTCATTGTTTCGTATCTTGCGTATCGGGTGCTTGACTTCATGTCTCGTTGCTACTTTCCGTGTCCATGCGGTGTTCGGCCCAGAGCGGATATAGACGTTTGTGGTATTGTGTGATTGTCAGTCCCCTGGCTTTGGTTCACTGCCCGCTATTACTTGTGGGACGTGTGCTTCTGGGTGAAGGGTGAAATGTGCAGTAGGTGTTTTTTTTTTTTTTCTTGGATGGGCTGTATCTTTGCGTTCCGGTTGTTGTTTTCCGGCTGTTTTTTCGTTTGGTCTTGTTCTTCTCTCGCGACATGTTTCTGGATAAAATTGTCTGTGTGTTCTGCGTTTCAAAGCATGGTGATCGGTTCCGAAGGATCGTATGTGTCAGCGTTTGGTGTAATCTCTTGACCCTTTTGTGCAAATCGCCCGGGAGGGATTCGGCTGATCCACAGTGCGTCGAAGGACGGCCTAAAAGCCCACCTGCTGATGAATTCTGCCGTCGCTTGGACGAAGAGCCCGCGAAGTGATGAAGTAGTTCTGTATTACGTGTAGTTGATCATGATGTCGATAGTTGATTTTGATGTCGATGGGTCCCGCCCCTGTTTCCGGTTTTACCTTCGGTGTGGGCGTTGTGACATTTCGGATGAGTGACGGTTTCATTTCTGTACGCCTTCTACTCGTTGAACGGTTTAATCATAGTATTATTCTCTCGGTGTATTGGGTGGTTTGGACGGGGTACATGTCAGGGTTAGTCAAACATGGGTTACTACGGTGTTGCGAGTTTCTGTCTGGCGTGGCGATCCGCCGGCTTGTGTGCCCCGTTCGCAACATGTGTCGTGCCGTGGTCAGTTTCACCTACTACAAGCGTGCGTAAATGAGGCCGATGTCATGGTGTTTGCGAACCTAGATACTGTGCGGCGCTTTCTTGTGATCTCTTGAGTCTTGTCCGTTGTGCCCGTGCCATTGGGCTTGTCTGTAGTGGGGAAGGGTAGGTGAAGTCACTGCTATTCTGAGGATTGCGTATTTCATGGACACCCGTCTGTGTCGTGAAGAGTGCCTTTTGCGTCACCAAAGCACCCGCATGAAGTCAATGACTCCTTGAAACTCCGAGGGACGTAGTACGTGAGAACGTGACGATTTCCTGAGCTCTAACGTGCGTTGCAGCCATGGCCCGTTGAACAGCCCACAGGAGGAGGATACTTGCTCTGATGCGATGTCTCCGGGCTTCACGTTCGACATCCCACGCTTTGTTGAACATGACAGGGGTACCATGTCGCACGGATGATTATCCTTTTAATTCTGTCACTACACAAACAACAACAGTGGCCTCCGGGCACGCGAAGAAAAGTTCGTTGATAAAGGTTATAAACCCATTTTCTTCTTGAAGCACCACACAAGTAACCCCGTCCAATGTATCTGAGCCACGCCGAAATCTTGGTGCGTTGGCTTCGACTCCACCCAACCCACTACACATGAAACAAATGCATGCCCATCGAAGATCATATATTAGGCCAGGACATGAAAGCCACAGGCTAGAGTCGTTCTGCCAGCCTGAGCCTCCAGCTGACTTCCTGCTTGCCGATGTGATCTTTCACCGCAATTGAAGCGCCCTTGAGAAGCACCTGGCGAAGGCACTCGAATAGATCGCAGAACACCAACATTGATTGACGACGGATGATGATCAGCTAAAAGGCTGTAGTTTTTCTTCTTCGAAACGACGATTGGCTTGGCTTTTGGTTTTCTACCACAGCACTAACGGCAGTCGGGAGCCCCGAACCAGAAACTTCTACACAAACAATTCTACCAAGGGAAAAAGACCTGTGGGTGAAAAACGGCAGCGAATCGTGGTTCATCCATCGTACATATTATGTAGGGGCGTAGGATACAAATTGTCGCAGGTACTGGAGTGTTCTGTAGCATTTCAAGCACCCCCGGCATGAAGGTGGCGGAGATCTAGTGCAATGCTATGTTTTTGTCAAAGTGTGATGTTGTGCGAGAATTATCCCAAGAGCTCTTGTGAGCCAACCAATCTGGTACGTTGGTCGAGATGGATACATGATGTTCGGTCAACCCCTCCAAAGCAAAAGGTATCATTATCCTGGCGCTATTTTCAGGACCAACAACCGTAGACAGGCGGTGGTCACGAGCAGCAAGCCACTCGTGAAGGTTTTATCAACAGAGCAAACATCGAAGCACCCGCGCATACACATGGCGCCGTTAGCACAAGCGCATTGAACGACTCAAACGTTGTACTGGGTAATGTAGAGGGCGAGAGGGCCTGACTCACCCCGACTCCTCGCTCGAGATCAACCACGACCGGGAGACGCCCCGTGGCGGCCGTGCCCGTGAAATGCTTAGGGTTGCAGAGACGTGCCAATACGTCGTCGTCCTCGCTCTCGCCGCCTGATTTACTCTGAAGCGGTGGCGTGGTAGCGGCGCTCGCCGTCGTCGCTGATGACGGCTCGCAGCCCCTCGGGAATTTGCTCTTGCGAACACCGTCTTCTCCTATCAAAACCAACCCCCCTCCTTTCGGAAGAATAACCGCGTGCGTAGATGGGGAGCGCTGCTTGGGTTGGGGTTGATCGCTATTGTGCTCTCCGCGTTGGTAAGGGTGAGGGTGGTGGCGCAGATACTGGTGAGGGTGTCGCGGGGAAGGGTGCTCACGTTGGTTGGTCTTCTTGCTGACGACGAAGCCGTCGTCGGATCGGCCTCGCCGAAGGCTTGCTCCTCTCGCCGACGCTTTCGGCACCGCCGAAGCCAATGACTTCAATCCCTCCGGTCCGGGGCCTTGGGGTTCGCTTTTACTACCGGGACCCCTGTGGTCTCGTATCTGTCTCGGAAGTGCACAGGAAAAGGGAACGTTCGGTTGAACGTGAAAGAAGAGTGAGTCCGAGATAGGGACAAGGTGAAGTCTCGGGAAATGTTCGGGACTACAAACTTGTACCCATGACGGTTATTCCTTTATCGACGGTTGGACAAATCTGTCAGTGTCAGAAAAAAGATAAAAGAGGTCTTTAGACTATACGTCTGGGCAAAGAAGCCATCCGGGCACAAAAGGTGTGACGAGCAACAACGAGGCGTTTTCCTTACTATTTCGGCTCTCCGGCGCTGCCTGTAGTCCTCAAGGGCGGCCTCGGTTGCCATCACCGCCACTGGTGCAGCTACTTTTGCCCGAGGGAATTCAGGAGGGCCGCTACAGTGACGAGGAAGAGGTTCTTGCCTTCCCATGCCCTCGCCAACCTCTGGCGAAGATGATGTATGTGCGAGCGTCGCCGCTCTAATGTGCTGTGAAGGGCGCAATGCATGGTGCGATATCAAGCGAATCGAATCGACAGGGGCGGGGGTGATGGGTCGCGTCATGCAGCAAAGATACCTGAAATCGAATAACTGAGCAGATGAAAATTGAGCAAGAGATTGGTTGCCGGGGCATGGCCCCTGGAGTGAATATAGGCTGAATGAAGTGTTGAATTCCACATGTTTCGATGAGGAACGCGAAGCTTTGAGCCTAGTAATTGAAAGCGTAACACAATCTGCATACCACACGAGTAGCTGTAGGACTACTTGCCGTAAGGTCAATAGAAAAGGGTAATGGGGTAGTGAACATCTGCGTTGCTCTCACGAAGAACCTCGGGGGAGTTCATAATCAGCAGGAATGAGTTTGTGTAGGCAATGCACCACGGGTTCCGACAAAGGAGAGACTTGCACTCGTGACTTAGAATCAGCAAGCAGCGGCAGACGTATGGTGTTCTCGGTGCAAAGGTTTGCGTGCCCCCAATCCAAGCCCAACGTACCGGTGGTCGGTCGCACAAACTCTGCACGCCCGTATGATTGTGTGTAGGTCTGTACCTTACCTTGTTGATGAATCTTGACTTGGCGTCATTGGCTGACTTGAACAGCCCCAGCCTCGCTAGGCTGAAAAGGTGGAACCACATCCATTTCGAGGCGCGCAAGAGATGCGTGTTCGTGAAGAGGAGGGTGTGAGCATGTGGGGCGTGCTGGACATATATCATCCGTGAAAGAGTAGACGGTAGTGGGCATGCAGATGTTCTAGCACCCGTGTTTCAAAGCGGGACGTCGGGTACGGTACTCCCGATCAGCCAATGCACAGGGTGGGGGGCAAGACACGGTGGTGTGCTCGGTCCGACGACGCGCATGAAGGGCGAGCTGCGTGCCAGCGATTTCGTATGGAATGGTCACACAGAAGCAGAGCTGTGAAATAATTGTTCTTTCGGAGAACCAACACCCCGATAGTCGCGAAAGAAAAACACAGTGCAGCAGAAAAGAATGACGAGTTTAATGCTGTCTGGATCACCTGGGAAGACTTGATGCCATCATCATTCTGTGCGACCTCGTTCCTTCTTGTCTGCAATGTGGTGCCGGTCGGATCCCCGCTAACCTTGGGCGCTTGCTCTCGCCAATCATCACCACGAGCCTGCTGGTTTCGAGCCTTTCTCGTTTCGTACCTCACAACTCGATTCTTTCGGCGATCAGTCTGCTCCTCTAAAGTTCAATGCAGCGCTGGGTAGTGGTATCCGACGAGTTCGAAGTAGCAGTGGGGAGCATGTATTCGCTTGCTGTCGTTGCTGCCCATGTGGTGTTGCTCCGCCTCTCCTGATGAACGTCTGGCCCGCCAGAGTCTCCCTACTGGCTGTCCAACCCACTTTCAGCAACGGAGAGAGGAGTTCAGCACGATACACGATACACGATGCCGTACACCGTGTGCGTACGACGTGCAATGCTACCGCTGTCTGTCCTCTCTGTTCCTTCCTCGGTAGATTCCTGGCTTGCTGCAGTTGCCCGAGCCCAGAGCAGAACGGCACATATCCCGCCGCACGGAACCCCCCTCCCGGTTTCTTCATTCCAGTATGTCGTCCCCCTTCCTCGCTTGGCTTGGCTGTTTTGCGGCCTGTGCGATGCGCAAGTGACAGGCGGTAGCAAGCAGCTGCTTGTGGAGGTTCGTGGATCAGTAGGTGAGCCTTGTGTTGATCGCCTCGAATGCGAAACTCTTTAACCCAAGGTTTGAATCTTTGTCAAGTAGAGAGCTCCTTTCGTCTTGTGTGTGGGGAATGGGGAAGCTACCGGCTCCAAGAGTACGGTAGGCTTCCCGCGTGTACGTAAAGCGTCAATTCCACAACAGTTGAGCCTTGCCGATTGCTGCTGAATCAACAGCAGTCGTCAGGTTCTGTTCCACTCTTAGACGCCGGCGTTTGAAGACCAATCGAGCACACCCGTTACAGCTGCGCATTGTCCAGGCAATGCTGGTGAAGATTCCTTGCAACTTGCAACTTTATGCCGTTCCGGTCGACCCCCAAACGGATCCCTCACGCCCCTGCTGTGATACAACAATCTGTTCTTTCAAGTACAAGTATTGCCGAGGAAGGTTCTTGCTTCGTGCTTGTGGCCGGAGCATACTACTGAGCGCTTGTGATACGCTGCACACTAGAAATTCACGTGCACTTGCATTTGCCGACAGTACTGCAGTACTACTACTGTCGTTCTTCGTCACGGCAGCCAAGGAAAGCCCGTTGTTCAGTAACTTCTGACGGATGCGCATAAATAGTACGCTTCCAGATACGCTGGCTGTTTTGCTGGCAGCTGATTGGATAGGGGCGCATCACTGTAGTGTGATCTGCTTTTTTCTGGAGGACGGATGCCTCTGTTTGTGTGTACCAGTTCCCTGATAGCTGTTCTGAATGTAGGGAACAAGAGCCGCCTGCTCACTCGATGATGAGGAAGGACAGCTGTAGTAGTAATAGTTACAGCCCTGGGTCCAAGGGCAAGGCTGATCGATATTTCGGGTGGCTCAGTTCTGTGTGTTGGGAGTGTAGAGCAGCTGGGCCA